GGATGATCCTGGGAAAGACTAATATTAAAGAAGCTCTGCACAGAAAGACATGTCACACATGATCTCACATGGAGAATGTAAATGTGCTGAACTCATACCCCAGAGTAGAATGGTGGTTAGTAAATGCTGGAGGGGATACTTGGGAGACAGTCAGATATACAAAAAAAGATAAAGTCAAGAGATCTGTTGTACAGTATTATTACTCAATATAAGAATTACTGTATTCTTTAAAATTACCAAGAAAAATTGGTTCTGTGTTCCTATCACAGAAATATAACTATATGAGATAATGCATGCCAATTCAATTTGCTTGATTTAGGCATTGCAATATATATATATATATATATGCATACATATATTCAAAATATCATATTCTACATGATTAATAGATATGTTTTCTTACCATCTTAAAAAAAATCAATTTCATAGAAGGCTGAGCTATTCAACAAGTTTACAGATTAATCTAACAGTAAGTTTAGTGCTGAATTACTCTCAATATGTTCTTCTCTTTTTATGAATTTTAAGTGAATTTTAAGAATAAACTGGAAAATAATCATAGAGGAAAGATACAATGTATTGTCTTAGTTACTGTTGTTGGGCTGAGACAAAATACCACACACTCAAAGTTACAGTAGAAAAGGTTTATTTCAGCTCACTCTCTGTAGAGGTCTCAGTCAACAGCCAGCTGGCTCAAAGGCACAGTGGCATGTGCAGGAGCACCACAGAGAAGTAACAGTCCATGGGAAAGCAGCGAGGAGACGCAAAAGCAGCAAGCAGCAGCAGCGAACCTGCCTTCTTTCTCTCCCTACAAGTCTATTGACAGTGCCACCTGTACCCATAGTGGGGCTTCCATTATCCACCCCCTTAATTCCAAATTCACACCCTTAATCTTCATTCACACATCCTAATCCAGCCACCTCCATAACTCCCCACCTATCACTGCATGAGGCTATGGGAGACATCTACATACAAGTCATATATAACACTTTGATGCTTAACTATATATAAAAATCATTTGTACTTAATGGAAATACAGCAGAATCAATGAATTCCATTTTTAAGATGAGCTTCATGGGATTTTGGAGCATCAGGATAGAATGACTACATTTAAAGGAAAACCTTGTTTAACCATTCTTCACAAGAAGATACATCTATATTTTCGACTTCAAGCCAAGCCATCTGTAGTCCTCAGTGTACAGTACTGGTAGAATTTTAAGTTTTTCTACATATACATGTCTATAAATAATCGACAAATCATTTGATGATATACTAAATAATATAATCACATAAGTTTAATCATGTGTTTATGAATAACTTTCCCTTTTTATTTGGCTAAACAATCTTTTTCCAACCACGCCCCCATCCGTTGACATGCACTTTGTTTCTAGTATTCTCACCATTAGAGCAGGATTGGGCAGTTCACTTGCACAAAACTGAATGCAATAGATTATATCCTTATATACTGGTGACTATGTGTATAGCAGGAATACTCAGGTTAGAATTGAGAAAAGGCTCTACAAGGCCATTGTTGTTGTTGTTGCTGCTGCTGCTGTTGTTGTTGTTGTTTATAAAGCAATTTTACTACAAAATACCAGACTGTCTTCTCCTCTGGGTACTAAACTCTCCATGTAACAAGTGTTTGTAATTAACATTTCTTTATTTCAGAAGCCGTTGATTCATTGC